GCACTTGAATTGTGTGACCTTGAATGTGAATGGAAAATTTCTCTTAAATAATATGAAATTAAAGGAATTTAAAGAGAATAATTTTATAACTAAATGTCCTACGCAAGAGATAATTTCCCATTTGAAAATCAATCTAAAGAAAATATGCAGAAAAACCATGCATAAGAGGAAAAATTTGCTGAACAATTTTACACTTTTTACTCTTAGCTTGATTTTTAGCAATATTTTCTGCCATGCGCAAAGAGTCGCTGTAAATTTTATTAATTCGGAAATATTGAGTCTGCAAGCTCAGAAAGCCCTAATAAACTAGTAACAGAAATTAATACACTAGTGAAATGTTTCAGAAAGTAGTCTCTTTTAATGGATATTCGGTGCAATTGGGCGCCAGAGAAGAATTATTATGGAATGTAGTTTTTGTCTGCAAAATAAGGAATATTTGCAATCTTTTGAATTCCGTTCAAATCACTTCGAAATAATAGTGTATGTGACCCAACAAAGTCTGTTGAAATCGCGAATATTTATGATATTCAATTTATCACACAGATTACTGCTACTCCTAGAATGTTTGGTATATAACAAATGGGATATATAGGTATCACCCCATTTTCGATATTTTGATATTTTTTGCCGCATTTTTCACCGACTTTCATCAATGCGGAAAATTTTTAATATAGATCCAACATTTTGTAACATTTTAGCTTCAACAATAAATATCACGCCAAATAACAGTCACTTTAATAGTCATATGGAGTTCAAAACTTCAAAATGTCAGCCAACAAAACCCCCAAATTAATAATAATAATTTTGAGTACTTATTGGATATTTGCTCACCATATATGTAATATGAAGAAAATCAATCAATTTTTGTTCTCAATAAATATTTGAAGATTGTTTTCCAGCTGATAAATATCTACACTCTTTACCATACCTCAATAGTCATGTCTATGAAGTTATACAAGTTATAAAATAATTTTTAATGAAATAGATTTCGAGCAATATTTTTTGTTACATCTCCTTAAGACAGTGTCATATTTCAGCTAATCTGGCAAGATTCCTCTGTAAGGAATTTGACTGTGAATTTCAACTGAGACGCCATTAACAATTCAGTTAGTCTATAAAGACTCCTCGGTCGTTTCACAATGACTATGAAAGTCTTCTCATCGAACTGCCTGAGCACTTCATCGCATCCATAAATGCTGAATGTTTCAGATAATCTGCAGGGATTCTTCGAGAAACTCAGTTCGTGCATCAAGTCTCTCTGGAGTTTTCAGTTTATAAATAAAATAAATTAATAAATATTTGAAGTAGGTTAGGTTAGGTTTGGGGATGTGCAGTCACATGTGTGACTGCAACACTCTGAGACCGGTTAGGTCCGTTGTGATCATCCACAAGAAAAGATACAGTGAAGAGAAGAGACCAAGAAGACAGATCTGTAGGGAAGAGAAGAGTAGTAAATTAAAGGGGGTGGAGAAAGATTGAAGGTCGATGGTCCTATGAGTCAGACAGAAAAAAGCATTACGTGCCAAGGTTATGTGCTCCTAACCATTTTATGTTTCTAATTATGCTGTAGATTAGAGCAGGTTCGGTTGATGAGAAGAAACTGAGAGACGGAAGAGTATGAGCACCCATTAGTCTGTGTCGCCTGTAAGCCAAGGCTGGGCAGTGACACAGGAGATGCTCAATTGTCTCCGTTTCCTCCTCGTCAACACAGAGTCTGCAGTAATCAGTTGCATCAAGATCCCATTTACTAGTAAGGGCCCTGATGTTGCAGTGACCAGTGATAATTCCCGTCATCACTCTAATTTCAGCTTTGTTCAGGTTCAATAGTGAGTGCGTTCTTTTAGTAGACAGAGTCGGCCAGATTGATCTTGACACGTTGCACCTAGGTTCGTTGTGCCAAAGTTCGCGGGCTGTTTCGTCAAAGAATGCCTCAAAGTTTCTATAGAAAAGACATATGGGTGGTTTAAGTGAGTCATCAGTTTCTAGATCGGTGGATTGAGATCCTCGTCTAGCTAGTTCGTCCGCTCTTTCATTACCCAAGATGTCACAATGTCCTGGTACCCAACACAACCGATAGCTACGGTTAAGTTCTTCCAGAGCTGTTCTACACTTGAGGACGGCTTCGGATTTGATGTAGCAAGATTTGATGGCTTTAAGAGCCGCTTGACTATCCACAAAGATAGTCACCGGTTCAACGACCTCAGCATCCAGGTTTTTTATCAATTCCGCTGCCTTCCAGATCGCGAAGATTTCACCTTGGAAAACACTACAATTACTATCCAGCTTGTAGGTCAACTCAAGGCCTAGCCTTTCACAGTAGACGCCTGCCCCAGTACCTTCTTCCATCTTGGATCCGTCTGTATAGAAGGCCAGACCGTCCAGAGGAGGGTTACTTCTTTTCCAGTCGTCTCTACTAGGGATAACGACATCTACATCGTCGAATCTAAGGATTGGTGATATATAGTCGCTTAGTTTAGCACGTTGGTCCAATGCTATACCTGGTTCGTTTAGAACACTACTATGTCCAGAGGTACAGTTCCGCCAGAGTTTTTGTTCGTGTAGCCTTAAGGCGCTACGCGCAGCCTGACACTTAATGCTGAGGCCCAGGGGCTTGAAGTACAGCATTGCGTTCAGAGCTGCTTGTGGCGTACTCCTTCTGGCTCCTGTAACTAAAATTGCGGCAGCTCTTTGTACCTTGTCTAGTTTACTAGATGTCGTCTTGAGGCATATTAGAAGAAAGTTTTCCATCTGATAAACGATGTAGTATTTTACTATGCCTACATAGCAGGACTCTGAGAAAACACCATGATTTAATAGTATTATAAAATTGATTTCAACAACAACCGGAACGTTTCATTACATCCATTAAGGCTCTCCTAGTATTTGGTTCATCTATGAAGACATATTGTGTATTTAAGATAATCTTCAAGGATTCCGTGAACGATTTTTTTTTTTGCATCATAAAATCTGTCAGGATTTTTGAGTTTATGAAGAAAATAAATCAATTTTTGTTCTCAAAAAATATTTCCAGAAAGTTTTCTATATGATCAAATATGTAGTATTTTAATATGTCAGGGCTTTGAGAAATCTAAATGGTTTAATATTATCGATTATAAAATCAATTTCAACAACAATTTAGCCCCATATATTTGATACAATTTCATATTTCAGCTATTCTAACAAGGCTCGACCAATAAGTCTTTCTAATTCTTTAAAGAGATCAGATGACAATTTCATTTTGGTTGTGAAATTTAAGTGAGACAAACCTCCAAAAATTTCATATTTCACCTATTCTAGCAAGGCTCGACCAATAAGTCTTTCTAATTCTTTAAAGAGATCAGATGACAATTTCATTTTGGTTGTGAAATTTAAGTGAGACAAACCTCCAAAAATTTCATATTTCACCTATTCTAGCAAGGCTCGACCAATAGGCTTTCTAATTCTTTAAAGAGATCAGATGACAATTTCATTTTGGTTGTGAATTTTAAGTGAGACAAACCTCCAAAAATTTCATATTTCACCTATTCTAACAAGGCTCGACCAATAAGGCTTTCTAATTCTTTAAAGAGATCAGATGACAATTTCATTTTGGTTGTGAATTTTAAGTGAGACAAACCTCCAAAAATGCCGTTAAGCTATAGAAAGTTTATATTTATTTTTTTAGAATCATTGCAAATACCAACATCGGCCCAAATAAATTTCTGAAATTTGTAGGAAAAAGGCTAGTTTGATTTGCGTCGTACCGATCCGATTATCTTTATGGCTTTGAATACTATATCAAATGGTTTAAAATAAATTCAATTTTAATATATAAATTTAAGTATTTAATTTTGGTATAAATATTTTACGTTTTATGAATTTTTCACGTTTTTTTTTTGTTATTTGTGAAATAAAGGCAACAACTTGTTACAAATATTTATTATATATCTGACAGAACAAGCCACTAAATATAGAGTTGATTTTTTGTTATACACCTCAAGATATCCTACCATGTATTATTATATCATGCTCTTTTCAAATGTTGGTATTCCGATAAAAGGAAAATAATTTTCGATTGATTTTTATAAGTGTTTACAAAACTTTTTTTCATTTCATTTATTAACTCACTTCATTGTAATATAAACAATCCAATCCTAAATACAGTACCCAAAAAAAAAAAAAAACTTATTGCCAATAACTAAAATCTATAAATACATTTTGTAATACTACAATTTATATTCAAATTTATTCTACAATATTCTAGGGAGAATATCCTAACAAAAAATTAAGAGAACTAATAAGGATCAGTGGCGAGATCCGAAACTATAGTCTTCCCTGGCTTACCCCTTGGTAGACAATGTCATACTACACCCACTAATAAATAGTTGTTTTTATAAAAATTGGGTTTCAGCCTGACTATTTTGCAAAAGCAAAATACAAATGGTATCCAAAAAAAAAACCACCAGCACTACTGAATTTGCAAAAATTGTAAGAAATCGTGTCATATAAAGATATGAAATTGTTCATAATGTGCTTAATTCGTTGTGTTGCCCTACCGCTTTATTTGGGAATGATATGATTTTAATGTGAATTAAAATTATATTAACTGAAACAATTTAATTTCAATATCAAAATTATTCTACATTCTTAATAAAGTTATTAATAAAAAAATTAAAAAAAAAGCCACAAATATTCATAAAACCGCCAAAAAAATGTGTTTTATTTTTTATGGTTCACTTTGTTTAGCCATGTTATCATTTCAAAGTGAATGTAAACATCAGCTGATGTTATTACAATAGCCTATGCCCCATGACCCAATAACAAATATTGGGCCATGCCTATGCCCCCTTTCTAAACAAATAAACGTTGTCGCCATTCCTTTACTACGCTCATTCGTAAACAACCCCACAATTCTGTTTTGTCCCCACGAATTTATCTGTCATTATCTGATGTCGCCTCTATTCGCATCAAAGACAACATTTGTGGGCTGGAATAAAATTTAGATTTACCCTCCTGGAAGAATGGAGCAATCCACTCTATTCTCCATAAAAAGTTTGTGCAGAACCTGCACCACAGACACAACAGTTGGTGATGCCTTTAAAGTCAATGCCATTTGCATTTTCGAGCATATCAATGAAAGTCCTGGCAGTCCAACGGTAATGGATCTATTAATAAAACTGCAACCTGAAATTTGTATCGGATTCCAGGATAATTTACCAAAGACAGTGTGTATGGCATGCATTGAACAATTGCAAAAAATCTATGAATTTTTGGAAGCCTATAAACAGGCCAATAGCAAATTATTGAAATTATTAAATGGTATTGATTTGGAAGAGACGGTAATGTTTGATTCTGCGAAAAATGAATCGGAAAAAATGGCCTTTGAAGACAATGTCGATGAAGAGCCGATATCAACATGTACATTAAATAATATGCTAGATATAATTGTTACACCACCAGTGGGAAATATAAGCAACCAGCATGATGATGTGAAAGTGGAGAAAATGATTGGTACGGAATCCGAAAATTCTGATGGGGGTAATAATGATTTGAATGAAGGGTAATTCAATTCAATATTTAATTTTTATGGAAAAGGCTTTTATATTACATTTCTAATTTTAGAAATGATCTCTTAATGGAAATGGAACCAAGTAGCATAGTAGACTCTCATTGCAATAAGAAGGAAAATAAACCCCTGAGAAAGAAAGGAACTAGAAAAAATTCTAAAATGAAAAATAAAAAAGGTTGTACAGGAAATACTGCTGCTAACAAGGAAAAGGATACGAGTTCAAATCAAAAGGAAGAAACTAAAGCCAGTTATGAATGTGAATATTGTGGGAAAGGTACTTAGGCAGTCAATTTGAGACTTCCACTGGTAAATTAAATAAATTTCTTCATTTTGTAGTTTATTTCAAACAACATCAATATAAGGACCATTTAAGAACACACTCAGGTAAATTGGCAACCTTAAAAAGAAATATTTTTAATACGAAATTGCATTCTTATTTATTTAAAATTATTATTTTTTAATATTCCTAATTTATCAATTCTCATTTAAGCACAGACGAAAAACCCTTCCTATGTCCTGAATGTGGAAAAGGTTTTAAAATTCGAACGTGTTTAACGGCACACATGAAACGTCATACGGGTGTGAAAAGCGTTGTCTGTCCCGTATGTCCAAAAACTTTTGTGGACAAAAGTGGTCTCCATAGTCATATGTTTGTACACAAGAAAGAGAAGCCTTTCGTGTGTGACACCTGTGGAGCTGCCTTCAATATGGCCTATTTACTGAAAAGACATAGTTTTTTACACACAGGCATAAAAAATTATGCTTGTACACATTGTGATCAACGGTATGCAAAAGACAATATTTCACTTTTGAAAATATTTAAATTATTTTATATTTCTTTTTTTAGTTTTGCCCGATCAAGAACTCTACATCGGCATATGCTTACCCACACGGGTGAGAAACCATTTGAATGTCACTATTGTGATCGGGCATTTAGTCAAAGTAACGATTGTCACACCCATATGAAATCACATGTCGGTCCCAATATACATCTATGTGAATTGTGTCCAATGCGTTTTCCTTTTGTCAGAGAGTTGCGGGCCCATTTCGATACACATAAGGTAATCATTGAAGACTCCAAAATGCATTATAACAATATTTTTTTTAATTTTTTCTCATTTCTATAGAGTGATGATGAAGAAAAGCGCGCTAAGAATCTTGAAGAACGCAGGCAGGAAGTGAATAATCTTAAAATTAATTTTGGTTATAAAAAAGATTGATATGTTTTGGTTGAATATTTATAAATTGAATCTATGTTGATCTATTTAATGTAAATGCAATTGTTTTATTGTTTTAAGTTCTAAACTAATAAATTTAAAAAATATCCCAAACCTATAAAATTATAGGCATAGTTTAAAGAAGATATGCAACACTGTAGTTTTTGCCTTAATATGTCATATTTAATTCAAAACACGTCCAAACAAGGCCTATTAACAAAGTAATTCAGGGAGATCAGCTGGATAATAGCTGCTTCTCAAATTTAATGTCTAATGTGCCTTATTTCCCTCTAAACTTCATTTTAGCGTGTTAGTATAAAGACATAAAATGTTCTCCACAAAATTCTACTATGGGGGTCCAATGGAACCCAATCGGTACCTGTAACATTTTTCGCTAAAAAAAATGCAATAAAATTGACGAATAAATTAGAAGTTTTTGGTTCAACTTTGCGTCTTTTCTACCACTAAGGCCATATCTACCACATGTTTAATAAAATGATTAAAACATGTCAAATAAACTGAACGACTTGTTGCATTGGCTTTTATTTATTTTGACCTTAACAGCCATAAGTTAGCGTTGTATTTTCTAACGAAAAAATCTTGTTCGTATTGCGTTTCTACTGTATTAAATGCCTTCTTTGCGTGAAGTGTGACCTTGCCACTTAATAATAAATAACCAAACAGTAAATGAAACTAATTCACAAAGTTCATTTCAGTGAATAAATACTTCATATTGAACTATCACCAATAGAAACAATTTTGTTTTCATTCTTAAATAAAGAAAAACTTAAATATTTTTTTAATAAATAATAAAAAATGCCACTCTATGAAACGGCAATGCAAGAAAAACCACCTGTGGTCTTAGATATTGGTTCAGCATATACCAAGTAAGTGGAAATTGGTTACTAACAATGACGTCATATTGGTTGGTAACTACTGCTGCTGATGATGATGCATCTACTCCCTTTATTTTTTCCAGATTTGGTTTTGCAGCCGAGGCATATCCAAGAAAAATCATACCCACAGAAGTGATACTCTCGTCGAATGGTGAAACGAAACATTTATTCGATTACAATGACAAATTGGAGTTCTATGATCAAATGGTGGATTTTTTGCAGACGATATTTTTCAAGTGAGTCATTTAAGCCGGCAGTAGGATTTTCTTAATGATGATTTTGTATGTATTGCAGATATTTATTGGTAAGTCCCAAGGAGAGGAAAATTGTGGTGGTGGAAAATGTCTTCGGCCAGACCATTATACGTGAAACCTTGGCCAAGGCCTTGTTTCGCCATTTCGAGGTCTCATCGGTACTCTATGTACCCTCACACATGATTGCCCTTTCCACATTGGCTGTGCCACATGGCGTCGTTGTCGATATAGGATATAGTGAAACAACTGTTATGCCCGTTTTCAGTGGTGTCCAGGTAATGCAAGCATTCCAAGATCAACGATATGGTGGACGTGCTGTACATGAAGAAATCAAACGTATGCTAGTGGCCGAGGGAGTACGTGAAGAGTTACTTAATGAAACCGTTTTGGAAGATATTAAAGTACGCACATGTTTTGTAACAAAATTGGAACGGGCCCAAGCTTATTTGAAAAATGAACCACCACAAGCACCACCAAGCGT